TATGCTGCTGCTGCTGCTGCTGCTGCTGCTGCTGCTGCTGCTGCGAACTTGCAGAAGACACCTGCAGCAGCGAATCTCAGCAGCTCCGGCTGCTGCTTGCAAGGCCGCTGCTGCAGCTCTGCTGCAGCTGTGCTGCTGCTGCTGCTGCAGCTAGCCACGGTTCTTGCTGCAGCAAGCTGCTTTTTACTAGATCTTGGCTAGCTGCAGCTAGCCACAGTCCTGCCTCTGATAGCTGCAGCCAGCAGCTAGCTGAAGCAAGCTTTGGCTAGCTGCAGCAAGCTTTGGCTAGCTAGACTTGACCACAGCTAGTTCTGGCTAGCTGGGGGTAACTGGGGCCAGCAGCTAGCTGCAGCAGACTTATATCTTAATTTAGACCGCTGCAGCCAGCTGCAGCAGCTAGCTATGCTGCAGCTAGCTGCTGCAGCTAGCTAGCTAGCTGCTGCAGCTAGCTAGCTAGCCGCTGCAGCTAGCTATAGTTAGCTGTAACGGAGCTTGGGGCCTTCAAGACCTAATCGAATCTATAAATGAAAAAGAGAAAAGTAAATAAATAAATAAATAAATAAATAAATAAATAAATAAATAAATAAATAAATAAATAAATGGATAAATAAATAATCAGTTATTCAATTATTTAATTAATTAAGATAATGTATATAAACAAAGCAGCAAAATAACAAAGAAGGGAAATAAGTGAAGAGCTGGCTAGCTAGCTAGCTAACTGAGCTGGCTAGCTAGCTAGCTAGCTAGCAAGCCAACTCAGTTGTTCAGCCACTTGGCTAGCTAACTGGCTAGCTAGCTAGCCAGGCTAGCTAGCTGGCCAGTTAGCTAAAGAGGCGGCGGGCATGGAGAACTAGCTAGCTAGCTAGCTAGCTAATTGCTAAGAGAGGCGAGCAGACAGAATAGCTAGCTAGCTAGCTAGCCAGCTAGCTAGCTAGCTAGCCGGCTAGCTAGCGCTGCTGGCTAGCTAGCTCGCCAGTCAATAAGCAAAGCAGCTAGCTAGCTGTCTAGTTGGCTAGCTGGTTTTCTCGAGAGGAGCACTGCAGCTAGCCATGCTCTGGACTCACACAGCTTCAAGAAGCTGCTGCTGCTGCTGCTGCTATTGTTGCTGCTGCTATTGTTGCTGCTGCTGTTGTTGCTGCTGCTGTTGCTGCTGCAGCTCAGCTGCAGCAGCAGCTGAGACACCGCAGCCGAGAGTTTCCACAGCTGCAGGCGCTGCCGAACAGAGCGCCAGCTGCAGCAGCAGCAGCAACACCAGCTGCTGCTGCTGCTGCTGGAAAAGTGTTTAGCAGCAGCAGCAGCAACAGCAGCAGCAACACCAGAAGCAGCAGCAGCAACGGCAGCAGCAGCGCGCCCCCCTTTTCGCGGAGGCATTGCTGCTGCGCAGCAGCAGCAAGCAGAAGAAAACAGCAGCAGCTCACTGAAGCAGCAGAAACTGCAGCAGCAGCAGCAACAGCAGCAGCAGCAGCAGCAGCAGCCGCAGCAGCAGCAACTGTAAGAGCAGCAGCAGCAGTGCCGGTTCTGCAGTGCCGAACCGCAAAGTTGCTGCAGCGAGCAGTTGATCTGGATATTTTGAAAGAAAGATTTTGAAGTTCAATGGCGAGGGTTTAGGGTTTAGGGTTTAGGGTTTAGGGTTTAGGGTTTACGTTCTAGGGTTTAGGGTTTCGGCTCTCGAGGGTGTAGGGTTTGCGCTCGCCGCCCCACACAGCCCTGAGGCCTTCTAGTGAAACTCCTTCATTAACAGCCGAGCTGCTACAAAATATTCTAATATAGGGTTTAGGGTTTAGGGTTTAGGGTTTAGGGTTTAGGGTCTAGGGTTTAGGGTTTGGAGCCTAGGGTTCAGCAGGGCTCGCCAGCGTCGAGGGTTTAGGGCCCCGGTCGGCATGCATTGAATTAGAAGGGAGGCCTCTGTGTCGGCAGCTATTTTAGGGTTTAGGGTTTAGGGTTTGGGGTTTAGAGTCTAGGGTTTAGGGTTTAGGGTTTAGGGTTTAGGGTTTACGCGTTTTTCATCAACTTCAGTGGCGACTTCAGCGGGCTCGGGTCTGAAGCCTGTGGGCTTCCAGTCCAGGGTGAAGGGTTTAGGGCCCAGGGCCTAGGGTTTAGGGTTTAGGGTTTAGGGTTTAGGGTTTAGGGTTTAGAAGAATGGGGGAAAAGGTCACAGTCAGTTCCGTCTGTTGGGTCCCGCGGGGCCGCAGCGCTCAGTTCCCCATGAGCTGCTTAATAGAGGAGCAGGATGTGTCTTTGCTGCTGCAGCAGCAGCAGCAGGAGGAGAGCAGCAGCAGCAGCAGCAGCAGCAGCAGCAGCAAGAAGCAGCAGAAGAAGCAGCAGCAAAAGCTGCTGCAGGAACAAGCAGCAGCTCAAGACGGGGAGAGTGACGGCGGCGAATCTGAAGACCAAATGGAAGAAGACGACGACAGCGAAGACGGTAAACCCTAAACCCTAAACCCTAAACCCTAAACCCTAGCCCCAAGCCCTAAACCCCAAACCCTTAGCCGTGGCTTTGACTGCAAATGTGAAGCTCTGCAAACCCTCGTTGCTCTCAAGCTGAATTCTCTTCGCCGCGAAACGATTGCTGCAGGGCTTAGGGTTTAGGGTTTAGGGTTTAGGGTTTAGGGTTTAGGGTTTGTGGCTCAGAGGGCCCGCTGCCGGGGGTTTTCGGGGTGTTGGCTGCGGACGGAGCGACGGCGCTGCGGGACGAAGGCGTAGCAGCAGCAGCAGCAGCAGCAGCAGCAGCAGAAGAGGAGGAAGCAAATATTATTTTAGAAACTGATTTTGTTCTTGTTGCTGCAGCAGCAGAAAGCAACTTTGGCAGCCTCGAGGTGTACGTACACGACCCCCTCAGAGGCAGCCTCTACGTCCACCACGACATCCTGGTGCGCCCTAGGGTTTAGGGTTTAGGGTTTAGGGTTTAGGGTTTGGGGTTTAGGGTTTAGGGTTTGGCTGCCGCCAGTCAGGGCCTGGGCGCAGGCGCTCGCAACCAAACTCCAACGCCAGGGTTTAGCTCTGTCCAGGGTTTGCGGGTTTAGGGTTTAGGGTTTAGGGTTTAGGGTTTAGGGTTTAGGACGAAGGCGTAGCAGCAGCAGCAGCAGCAGCAGCAGCAGCAGAAGAGGAGGAAGCAAATATTATTTTAGAAACTGATTTTGTTCTTGTTGCTGCAGCAGCAGAAAGCAACTTTGGCAGCCTCGAGGTGTACGTACACGACCCCCTCAGAGGCAGCCTCTACGTCCACCACGACATCCTGGTGCGCCCTAGGGTTTAGGGTTTAGGGTTTAGGGTTTAGGGTTTGGGGTTTAGGGTTTAGGGTTGGGTGCTGCTATCAGGTGCAAGCCATTGCCTGGCACCCCTCCGAAGCCTCGCTGCTGGCAACAGCATCTTATGACAAAACAATTTGTTTAATAGATGTGCGGCAGCCCCACGTGGCGGTGAGTCCGAGGGTTTAGGGTTTAGGGTTTAGGGTTTAGGGTTTGGGCTTTGCGGGTTTTTCACGCTGCTGCTGCTGCTGCTGCTGCTGCTGCTGCTGCTGCTGCTGCTAGTGCTTGTTGCTGCTGCTGCTGCTGCTAGTGCTTGTTGCTGCTGCTGCTGCTGCTAGTGCTTGTTGCTGCGGCTGCTGCAGCTGTGGGTGTTGCTGCTGCTGTTCCGCTGTAGCTGTGGTTGATGCTGCTGCACCTGGCTTCGCTGCTGCTGCTGGTGCAGCGGCGTTGCTGCTGCTGCAGCTGCAGCAGCAGCAGCAGCTGCTGCTGCTGCAGCGGCTGCTGCAGCTACGGTAGCTGCTGCTGCAGCTGCGTTTGCTAATGTGTTTTTGCCTGTAGCCCCTCGCAGCCCTTGAGTCACACTCGCAGGGCTTGTGGCGCGACAATTAGGGTTTAGGGTTTAGGGTTTAGGGTTTAGGGTTTGCGTTGCAGGGGCCTCTGTTCAGCTGCCGGGCCAGCGAAGAAAAAGGGCTTTTTGGCTTTGGGGGTTCGCAAGTGGTTATTTGGGACTTGGGGGACACAGAGCACATTGCAAAGGCCTTTAACCTCTAAACCCTAAACCCTAAACCCTAAACCCTAAACCCTAGCAGCTGGGCTGAGGGTCTGCGGGGAAGGGGTGCAGCAAAACCCTTTTTTCGGTCGCGCTTCTCCGAGCGCTGCCCAAACACTAGAAAACTCAATACTTTTTCGTCTGCTACAAACCCTAAACCCTAAACCCTAAACCCTAAACCCTAAAGTAGCGAACGAGGAGGTTGCGCAGTTAAAGAAACGCCCGAAGGGCCTTCAGCGACTGTTCGGCTGTCTTCAGCTTATAACCAAGCTGCTGCTGCTGCTGCTGCTGCTGTTGGTGCTGCTGATGCTGCTGCTGCTGCTGTTGGTGCTGCTGCTGCTGCTGCTGCTGCTGTTGCTGTTGTTTCTGCTGCTGTTGCTGCTGTTGCTGCTGCTGTTGCTGCTGCTCCCTTCCAGCAGTCTTCCTGAGGACACGTGCAGCAACGCGTAGAGACGGCAGAGCAGAAACCCTAAACCCTAAACCCTAAACCCTAAACCCTAAAAGGGGGCCGCAGCTCTCACGGCAACAGCGCCAACTCCTCTGCAGACGTACGCAGCTGCTCCCACGCTGGCGATTGCTGCTGCTGCTGCTGCTGCTGCTGCTGCTGCTGCTGCTGCAGCACCTGCAGCAGCAGTGTAAAGCCTCCAGAGCGGGCAATTGAAGCCAGCTGCATGCTCACAGCAAAATCGAGCCAAGGGAAAGTGCGCTAGGGTTTAGGGTTTAGGAGGTAGGGTTTGGGGTTTACGGCTTAGCGAATAGGGTTTAGGGTTTAGGGTTTGGGAGCTAGGGTTTAGGGTTTACAGCATGCAGCGCCGGCCAGTCGCAGCGGTGGATTTGAGAGGCGGCCTGCTGCTGCAGTTCCTCAGCTAGCGAGTCTGTCCCTGCAGCAGCACTCCAAACCCTAAACCCTAAACCCTAAACCCTAAACCCTAAACATTTGCTTCAGGCCACGAGCTCTGAAACAGTCGCCACTGAGAGACTGCAGGGTTTAGGGTTTGCAACAAGACTAGCGGCGACTTGCCGGTGAGGGTTTAGGGTTTAGGGTTTAGGGTTTTAGGCGGCCTGAGGGTTTAGGGTTTAGAGCTAAAACCTCCTTCGAAGACTTCCTTGCTCTGCTACGGGCTTGAGTCTCGGCATCTGGTCTTTTGGGGGTTTAGGGTTTAGGGTTTAGGGTTTAGGGTTTAGGGTTTTTGAGGGTTTAGGGTTTTCGAGGGTTTAGGGTTACCTGAAATGCCCAGACGGCGGAAAGCGCTCAGGGCACTTACACATCCTGCAGGGTCTAAGTGTTTTACGCGGGGCCGCAGCTGCAGCACCAAAACCCTAAACCCTAAACCCTAAACCCTAAACCCTAATTTCTGAGTCCATGGCCCTAACCCTAAACCCCGGAGTCCCCACAGCTCCGAGCCGACGCTTGACCTATCAAAGGCTGGTGCTTCGGCTGCATCTCAAACCCTAAACCCTAAACCCTAAACCCTAAACGCTAAACCCTAAACCCTAAACCCTAAACCCTAAACCCTCAGCTCACGTGAAGCAAAAGGTCTCCAGCTAGAGAAGGACACAATTGAGGGAACTTGGAAATGCTGTGCAGCAGCGTGGCGGTTTGCTGCGCTGTCAGCGTCTTGAGGTGTACAGACACCTGACTTGCTGCTGCTGCTGCAGCAGCAGCAGCAGCAGCAGCAAATCCTTCCCGCTGCTGCAGACGCGACAAAGCAGCAAGCGCCAAGCAGCAGCCGCGCGCATCCACCTTTTGCAGCACCTGCTGCAGCAGCAATCCTGGGGGCATTTGCTGCTGCTGCTGCTGCTGCTGCTCTTGCTGTTGCTGCTGCTCTTGCTGCTGCTGATGTTGCTGCTGCCTCTTCCAGCCCAGGATGTTGACCAAGCACTTGTCACTGAGCAAACGTCCAAACCCTAAACCCTAAACCCTAAACCCTAAACCCTAAACCCCAAAAGCTAAAACCTGAGTAATAACGAGCGTATTTGGCCGTACATAGCAAGATGAACTGCGTCTAAATCTGGTCCCTTCAGCAGCAGCTGCTGCTGCTCCTGCTGCTGCTGCTCCGGCTGCTGCTGCTGCTGCTGCTGCTGCTGCTGCTGCTGCTGCTGCTGCTGTGCTCTGCGGAGAGTCATTTCCTGTTCATGGAAGCGCGCCAGGGAATTCAGCAGCAAAGCGAAGCCTGCAGCAGCAGCGGCAGCAGCAGCAGCAAAAGGAGTTGGTGCTGCTGCTGCAGCAGCAGCAGGAAGAGCAGCAGCAGCAGCAGCAGAAAGAGCAGCAGCAGCAGCAGCAGCAAGAGCAGCTTCGGCAGCTCACTCTGAGGGTTTGGCAGCAGCTCATCTCCTGGGATCGTCTCCAGACGATCCCCAGCTGCTGCCAGCAAACGCGGGTGCAGCAGCTTAGCAGCAGCAAGTGCATTCAAAGCCTGACAAGACAAACCCTAAACCCTAAACCCTAAACCCTAAACCCTAAACCGTAGGCCCTAAGTTAGAGCCTAGGATCTGAACCTGACAAGCACAGCGTGCGCACCAGACACTGCAGCAGCAGCAGCAGCAGCAGCTGCTGCTGCTGCTGCTGCTGTTGCAACAGCTGAGAAGCCTGCCATGGAGTTCTCAGGGTTTAGGGTTTAGGGTTTAGGGTTTACGTACAAGCGCTAACTGGAAGAAGCGGCAGTCCTTGATGGTGTCAGGCTCCTGCAGACGTCCAAACCCTAAACCCTAAACCCTAAACCCTAATTCTCTGCCCTCAAGGCACAAACCCGCCTACAGACAGCTTCAATTAAAGCTTTAGGGTTTAGGGTTTAGGGCTTAGGGTTTAGGGTTTAGGGTTTAGGGTCTGGGGTTTAGGGTTTGGCGCACCGCGAGGCGATCAGCAATGAGACAAAAGACGCGGCTGTCGAGACAGTCCAAACCCGCGAGCGCTTGCAGAATGGCTGCGACAAAACCCTAAACCCTAAACCCTAAACCCTAAACCCTAAACCCTAAACCCTAAACCCTAAACCCTTAGCTTCAAAGCCCAAACCTTAAACACCCCACGGGCCTGGAGGTTTCGGGCTTCGCTGCTGGCCCCAGCCACGGGATCGCAGGCGCCGCCAACCTAGCCCCTAAACCCTAAACCCTAAACCCTAAACCCTAAACCCTCACCGCAGAGGTCCCTGGCTGCGGCCTGCTGCAGCAAAAACCCTAATTTAGGGTTTCTCTTGAAGCAAACACTCAAAAATGCTGCTGGCCTCCAGGAAACCCTCAAGCAGCAGCAAGCCAGCCGCGCCAAGTGCGAGGGCCCCATTGACGGCAGCACCATCTCCGCCTGCGCCAAACCCTAAACCCTAAACCCTAAACCCTAAACCCTAAACCCTAAGTTTCAGACCCTCAGTTCTACCCGCAAGCGCAGGAGAGAAATGCACACGCCCAGCAAAAATGGAAGCACGCCCTTAGAAGCTAGCAGCAGCAGCAGCAGCAGCAGTAGCAGCAGTAGCAGCAGCAGCAGCAGCAGCAGCAGCAGCAGCAGCAGCAGCAGCAAACCCGCGCCACAAAGCGGATCCAGGTGTTCAAGTCGTAGGGGCCTCGAGCAGCAGCAGCTTCCATCACTCGGCACAAACGACCCGCAGACATCCTGCAACCAAACCCTAAACCCTAAACCCTAAACCCTAGACCCTAAACCCTAAACCCTAAAACCCTAATCCCCAGACCCTAAACCCTAAACTCTACACGGGAGACAGCAGAGCCTGAACCAAACAACAGCTTTGGGTCCTACGTGATAAACCCTAAACCATAAACCCTGAGCAACAAACCCTAAACCCTAAACCCTAAACCCTAAACCCTAAACCCTAAACCCTCTTTTCTCACCAGGGAACTCCTGCAAGGGTTTCAGGAAGCGAGGGCCCCATTGACGGCAGCACCATCTCCGCCTGCGCCAAACCCTAAACCCTAAACCCTAAACCCTAAACCCTAAACCCTAAGTTTCAGACCCTCAGTTCTACCCGCAAGCGCAGGAGAGAAATGCACACGCCCAGCAAAAATGGAAGCACGCCCTTAGAAGCTAGCAGCAGCAGCAGCAGCAGCAGTAGCAGCAGTAGCAGCAGCAGCAGCAGCAGCAGCAGCAGCAGCAGCAGCAGCAGCAAACCCGCGCCACAAAGCGGATCCAGGTGTTCAAGTCGTAGGGGCCTCGAGCAGCAGCAGCTTCCATCACTCGGCACAAACGACCCGCAGACATCCTGCAACCAAACCCTAAACCCTAAACCCTAAACCCTAGACCCTAAACCCTAAACCCTAAAACCCTAATCCCCAGACCCTAAACCCTAAACTCTACACGGGAGACAGCAGAGCCTGAACCAAACAACAGCTTTGGGTCCTACGTGATAAACCCTAAACCATAAACCCTGAGCAACAAACCCTAAACCCTAAACCCTAAACCCTAAACCCTAAACCCTAAACCCTCTTTTCTCACCAGGGAACTCCTGCAAGGGTTTCAGGAGACACAGGGCGAGTCAGGAGCGAGTCGTCTTGCGGTTTGCTGCTGCGGCATATGTCTGTTCTCCTTACTTTCCTTCTGCTGCTGCTGCTGCTGTTGCTGCTGCTGCTGCTGCTGCTGCTGCTGCTGGCGTTGTTGCTGCTTCTTGTTCTTCTGCCGGCTATGCTGCTGTCTCTTGTGCTGCTGCTGCTCGGGGTGCTGCCGCTTGCGCTGCTGCTGCTTGTTTTGCTGCTGCTGCTGCTGCTGCTGCTGCTGCTGCTGCTGCTGCTGCTGCTGAACTGCCTTCTGCTTCTCGCCAAGAACCTGTTGCTGCTGCTGCTACTGCTGCTGCAGCCTGTGCTGCTGACACTGCTGTTGAATTCAATATTGCTTCTTCTCCATTTTGGGAATCTTGTTGCAGTGCTGCAGCAGCAGCAGCAGCAGCAGCAGCTGCTGCTGCTGCTGCTCGAGTTGCTGGTGTGCGCAGGCGCCAGCTTCGGGGGTCTCATGGCTGCTGCTGCTGTTGCTGCTGCTGCTGCTGCTGTTGCTGTTGCTGCTGCTGCTGTTGCTGCTGCTGCATTGGGGGCACGCCAAAAGGCAGCAGCAGCAGCAGCAACAGTACCCACTCCTGCAGCTTTTGCTGCAAGCTGTACGCCCAAACTGGACATCCTGCTGCTGCTGCTGCTGCTGCTGCTTAAACCTCTGCTGCTGTTGCTGCTGGTGCTTTTGCTGCTGCTGCTCTTACCAAAGTTGGAGTTGCTCGTGGTGCAGGAGTTGCTGCTGCGGGAGCTGCTGCTGCAGCTGCTGCTGCAGTTTCCGCTGCAGTTGCTGCTGCAGACGCTGCTAGAGTTGCTGCTGCAGTTGCTGCTGCAGTTGCTGTTAGTGCCACTGCTGCTGCTCCATTGCGAGCCCTCAGCATGTGCTGCTGCTGCTGCTGCTGCTGCTGCTGCTGCTTCACAGTTCTAGTGTTGCTGCTGCTGCTGGTGCAGCTTGAGGAGCTTCTGTCGCCCGAGGTGTTGCTGTTGCTGCTGCTGCTGTTGCTGCTGCTGCTGTTGCTGCTGCTGCTGTTGCTGCTGCTGCTGTTGCTGCTGCTGCTGTTGCTGCTGCTGCTGTTGTTGCTGCTGCTGCTGTTAGGGCTTGCCGCATTTATAAAAAAGGTTAGGAGCTCGCCCGTTCTAGGGCCTTCAGGGGGCCCCAGTTCGTGTGAAGCTTCTGCTGTTAACTCTAAACCCTAAACCCTAAACCCTAAACCCTAAACCCTAAACCCTGAACCCTAGGCCCTAGACCCCAAAGTCTAGGCCTTAGGGCGTGAAACTTCGTGTTTGCTTACAACTCTTTAAAACACGGCCAAGCAATATTTTTAGTCCCGAGGGTTTAGGGTTTAGGGTTTAGGGTTTAGGGTTTAGGGTTTAGGGTTTGTGTTACAGGTTCTAACAGCAGCCGACGCGCATGCAGCCTCAAGTCCCTTCCGGAACAGTAAGGCACTAAACCCTAAACCCTAAGCCTCGAACCATAAACCCTAAACCCTAAACCCTAAAGTCTAAACCCTTGCTACTAAACCACCCTTTAGGGATAGTGCTGGAGGTACTAAACCCTCCTGCTGCTCTTCTTCTGCTTCGACCTTGCGCGGATCTTGAGGGTTTAAACCCTAAACCCTAAACCCTAAACCCTAACCCTAGAACTCCAAGCCCTAAACCCTAAACCCTAAACCCTAAACCCTAGCGGTGCTTAGCATGGCTTCCTAGCAAAGGCGAGGAGGGACTTTCTCCCTGCCAGGCTGCGGCCATCTCCAGCAGCTGCTGCTGCAGCAGCAGCAGCAGCAGCAGCAGCGCTTAGAAGAGCAGCAGCAGCAGCAGCAGAAAGAACAAGAACAGCACCAAAGGCGCAAGGGAGAGGAGCAGCAGCAGCAGCTGCTGCTGCAGGAAGGGCCTGATTGATGCAGCAGCAGCAGCGAATTGCTCACGGACGACAAAGATGGTAAACCCTAAACCCTAAACCCTAAACCCTAAACCCTAAAGCGCAGTTTTACCGTATAAGAGCAGATCTGTCTGAGCTCAGCAAGAGCTGGGTCTCCTGCCCAGCAGGCGCTAGGGTTTAGGGTTTGTAAGTGGGGTTGTTGCCGCGTGCAGTGGCTGCAAGGGTTTAGGGTTTAGGGTTTAGGGTTTAGGGTTTAGGGTTTGCTGCGCTGCAGTCGGTGCTGCTGCTGGGGGACGAAAACCTCACCTTTGCTGGCTGCTTGCTGCAGCAGCTGCGGGCGGAGGGCCACGGGCCGAAGTTGACAGTGACAGTGACTCTTGCTGCTGAGAGTGTCAGGGTACCTAAACCCTAAACCCTAAACCCTAAACCCTAAACCCTAGGCCCTAAACCCTAGTTCGTGGCTGCGCGTGCTGCGCGGCGGCTGCGCCGCGCGTCTCTGCGCAGCCGCCGAGGGCCTTCGGCGCGGGGGCGGGGCCGCGGGCTCAGGGCTTAGGGTTTAGGGTTTAGGGTTTAGGGTTTAGGGTTTAGGGTTTGCGAGCAGGAGGAAGTGCTGCAGCGCGCAAACGCCCTCACTGCTGCTGGGGTTTCTGTCCTCTTTGGGGCTTCGCCGCTGCAGCTCAAAACTGAAAACTTTGGATCTCGTTTTCAGGAGTTTGTTGCAGTGCTTCCGGGGCTGCCATTCCACGGGTAAACCCTAAACCCTAAACCCTAAACCCTAAACCCTAAACCCTAGGCCGTGGGCCCTAGGGGTCCGGGGCCGGCGGGCCGCGCGCCCTGCGGCGCGGAACGGCTGGGCTCGAGGGTTTAGGGTTTCGGGCCTAGGGTTTAGGGTTTAGGGTTTAGGGTTTAGGGGTTCGAGGCAGCGAGAGCCGGCCGGGCGGGAGCTGCGCTTGGGGGTTTCGGGCTTGCTAGGGTTTAGGGTTTAGGGTTTAGGGTTTAGGGTTTAGGGTTTAGGGTCTCGTCGCAGGGAGCGCAGGACAGATGCGAGTCCGCCCTCCGACGACGGCGGGGGATGTGTCTAATTCTTAGCGTGTAGGGTTTAGTGTTTAGGGTTTGGGGTCTAGGGTTTAGGGTTTAGGGTTTAGGGTTTAGGGTTTAGGGTTTATAGCATCTCGACTGCGAGTGCGCCGTCCAACGACAGCGGAGGATGGCAGCTTTGCTGTTTGCCTCTTTGCGTTGAGGCCCTGCTAGGGTTTGGGGCCTGGGGTTTCGGGCCTAGGGTTTAGGGTTTAGGGTTTAGGGTTTAGGGTTTAGGGTTTGGGGTTTGCGCAGGTGCCCGGAGTTCATCCCGTTTGGCTGTGCGCTGTTTCAGCTGCGGCTGCACCACTTTTTGTTTGCTTGTGCAAAAGCAGCAAAGGGGGTTTGTTCTCCTCACGGGAGGTTTAGGGTTTTGTGGGCTTCCCAAACCCTAGTTGAGGGTTTAGGGTTTGAGTTGCCTTTCCCCTCCATTGACTTCGGGGCCCTCGCCACTTTCTGCCAGATCACCCGCACTCCCCAGCACGACGTAACCCCAAACCCTAAACCCTAAACCCTAAACCCTAAACCCTAAACCCTCCATTGACTTCGGGGCCCTCGCCACCTTCTGCCAGATCACCCGCACTCCCCAGCACGACGTAACCCCAAACCCTAAACCCTAAACCCTAAACCCTAAACCCTAAACCCTAGGGGGCCTCCGGCCGAAGCCCCTGCGTCCCCGCTTCAAACTCCAGGAGGTGCTGTTTGCTTTCGGCTTCTGCTTGGAGGGCTTCTGCAGCTTCGCCGCAAGGGTTTAGGGTTTAGGGTTTAGGGTTTAGGGTTTAGGGTTTAGGGTTCGTGCGCAGACGCCGCTGGACTTGACGCAGTATGGCAACTGGCAGCCGATGATCCACCCCCACGAGCCCATAGTAAACCCTAAACCCTAAACCCTAAACCCTAAACCCTAATTTTGCGAGGGGAGCAGCAGCTCTTTCCCGACAGGACGGCTTAAAAGGCCAGCAGAAGTGAAAGCTAAGCTTCTAGGGTTTAGGGTTTAGGGTTTAGGGTTTAGGGTTTAGGGTTTGCTTCAGGATGAAGACAAGCTCTCGCTGATTCTTCAGACTCTTCAGTTCCACACCCTCAGTCTCGAGCGAAGCCAGGGAAACCAGCGGGTCAAACCCTAAACCCTAAACCCTAAACCCTAAACCCTAATAACAGGTCGAATAAATGCCCTGCTTCTTCCATTCGACGAAACCCTCCGCAGCGAACCCCCCGAGGGCAGGTTTGGGGCCAGCAAACTAGGGTTTAGGGTTTAGGGTTTAGGGTTTAGGGTTTGCGGGCTCAGGACCCGGTGAATTTTTTGCGGATTCCGCAAAGTTTGTTTCAGTTTGATCTTCGAGTTCTTCCAAATGTAAATAATTTATTTATTTTTGATTTGAAAGACAAAAACGAAAAAAGTGTCAACTGCCTCAAACTCACTCTCAAATACGACCCCAGGATCACCGGTGCTTCAAACCCTAAACCCTAAACCCTAAACCCTAAACCCTAAACCCTAGCCCTGGGCGCCGAACCGCGGGCCCTAAGCCCCAGACCCAGCGAGGCCGCCGCAGCCCGTGCGCAGAAACGCAGCGCCTGCTGCACCCGGCTGCTCCTAGGGTTTAGGGTTTAGGGTTTAGGGTTTAGGGTTTAGGGTTTGCTGCCTGTGCAGGCTGGAGAGGCGAGGGCGCTCCTCCCGTACACCCCAAAGGGGGAAAGAGCCGCGGCGCCGGTAAACCCCAAACCCTAAACCCTAAACCCTAAACCCTAAACCCTCGAGCCAAGGCGAAGTCTCATTATCAAGTAGTTCACGAGGCCCTCAGCAGCCAGCGTACTTTGAAGCTGGGGTCCCTCTTTCAGGGTTTAGGGTTTAGGGTTTAGGGTTTGTGCCGCAGAGCCTGCGGGGGCCGCGCCGGTTCCAGGAGGGCTCGAAGAAGGAAACAGAAAGCGGTAGATAAACCCTAAACCCTAAACCCTAAACCCTGGACTGAGGCAGGGGCGCGCTGTTTTGTCTAGGGGGCGACGACTTAGGGTTTAGGGTTTAGGGTTTAGGGTTTGGGGTTTGCTGCTACAGGGCCTTCAACACATTTTATCCGCCGGAGAAGCGCCACGAACCCTCGCCGCCCGAAACGAAACGTAAGCCTTAGGGTTTAGGGTTTAGGGTTTAGGGTTTGGGGTTTACGGCGTGGGGCCAGCAGTCATGGGTGCGCTCTCAAGGGTTTAGGGTTTGGCTATTTAGAATCCCGAAACCCTAACTCTAAACCCTAAACCCTTGACTCTACTCTCGGGGTTTGCTGCTGCGCTGTGGCTTTGCTGTTTGTCTTCGCTGCAGCGCGGCCCAACCCAAAGTTGTGAGCCCCGCTGCTAAACCCTAAACCCTAAACCCTAAACCCTAGCACCCGCTTTAAAAATGAGAGAGTCTAGGGCGAGAAAGGAAACATAACAGTTCGTGTCCCGGACGCCCAGCACCAACTGCTGGGGCTTCCACCATTGCTCCTGCTGCTGCTGCTGCTGCTGCTGCTGCTGCTGCTGCTGCTGCTGCTGCTGCTGCTGCAGGGTTTTGCGGGTGCGGCGTCGGTACTGCGCCACGAGCTCTTTTGCCTACGGGGACTTTTAGTTTGCTTCTTGGCAGCAGCAAACCCTCATTTTTAAGGGTTTAGGGTTTTGGGGTCTGGGGTTTGCTGCTGCTGCTGCTGGTGCAGCCGCTGCAGCTCTTTCAAGATAAAGAAAGACTGTGCGCAGAAGCAGCAGCTGCAGCAGCAGCAGCGGTTTAGGGTTTGGACCTTGACTCGTGATTTAGGGTTTAGGGTTTGGACCTTAACACGCGATTTAGGGTTTAGGGTTTGGACCTTAACACGCGATTTAGGGTTTAGGGTTTGGACGGCGGCTGCGCTCGGCATCCGTGGACGGTCGAGGGTTTAGGGTTAGCAGCAGCAGAGCAGCAGAGGGTTTAGGGTTTAGGATTAGCAGCAGCGGAGGATTTAGGGTTTAGGGTTTGGATCAGCAGAGGGTTTAGGGTTTGGAGCAGCAGAGGGTTTAGGGTTTAGGGTTAGGCGCGAGTGGCTGCGGCGGCGCGGCGCGCTTGCGCGCCAGCCCTTCGGCGCAGGGCCCCGGGCCACCTAGGGTTTAGGGTTTAGGGTTTAGGGTTTAGGGTTTAGGGTTTACGAGGATCAGGCGGCACTCCTTGGCACTAGCAGCAGGAAAGTCAAACTCCCTCGCGTCGCTGAGGGCTTCAGCCATCAGGCAAACGAAAACCCCGCAGTCTTCGAGGGTTTGCTGCTGGGGGGAGTTGCTCTGCAGCAAACACAAGGGTTTAGGGTTTAGGGTTTAGGGTTTAGGGTTTAGGGTTTAGGGTTTGGGATTGGCTGCGGAGGCGGGCGGGCGCCAGCACGCGGCGCCAGCGCCCCGCAGCCGCTGCCGAGGGTTTGGCAATGGCCCTCCTAAACCCTCAACCCTAAACCCTAAACCCTAATAAGTAATAAACCCTAGTAAACCTAATAAACCCTAAACCCTAAACCCTAAACCCTACCTCAGCGTGCCTGCGCCTATTAACTCGAAAGCCCTCTGTCAGGGGA